TATACATATACATATACATATACATATACATATACATATACATATACATATACATATACATATATATATACATATACATATACATATACATATACATATACATATACATATACATAAACGTATACATATACATTAACTTATACCTATACATATACATATAAATATACATATATATATGCATATATATATATACATATACACACACATAAACACGCGATAAAAACCAAAGCGATCACACATATCCGCTTTTACGTATGCACAAACAGTAATCACGCGTAGGTATAGTCATATACACAGGCACGCATACAAATACATACCCACATTTTATGCACAAATACACATACAGAAAAAAACCTAAAACCCTAAAACCTTAAGACCCCACCTGTGTTTCGGAGTTGCGCAGTGCATCACAGCTGTCAGACAGAGTGGCCGTGTCCACCATGCCTCTACGCTTAGCACTGTAACGAAGCAAAGGTAGAGAAACATCATAACCCCATACTAGCGTGTATATAAGGTCTATGAAGACAATGTTATAAGAACTATATACTCGTATGTTTACAAGGTCTACGATAACAATGTTATGAGAACTATATACTCGTATGCTTATAAGGGATACGATACCTATGTTATTAGAACTATATATATAGGTATATGTATATACATATATATATGTTATAAGAACCATATATATATATGTGTGTGTGTGTGTAAATGTACATACATATATATGTTATAAGAACTCTATACTCGTGTGTTCATAAGGTCTATGATATCAATGTTATAAGAACTACATACTCGTATGTTTATAAGGTCTATGATAGCAATGTTATAATAACTTTATACGCGTATGTTCATAAGGTCTATGATAACAATGTTATGAGAAATATATACTCGTATGCTTATAAGGTCTATGATGACAATGTTAGTCATGCGCTATGATTTGGTGAACCTTATCATCACCAGGACAGGTTAGCTACATGCTCTTTGAAGTCTAGTATAACAACTGTAAGTGTTCTATGAAGTCTAGTATACCAACTGTACGACAGTCCTGCACTCAGCGAACCATATAGCCACACGGATACAAGAACGCTATACTTCTCGCGCTCTATACTCTATGTATACACAACAGACTACCGAAGATGTGAGTTCAATGGTCACTGCTACGATATACGATATGGGTTCAAGGCTTTACTACCATAAGTAGTAAATAAGTGCTGTGACAGTCGTAGAAAGAGTACACGGGTGGCGAAAGCCACACAAATCAGCAACGTACCAGTTGTCGTATGGGGTTACAGGGTTTGGTGTGTAGTGTGTACGCTTGAAGATTCAGAAGCTATATACAGCGAGATTACATTCATGCCAAACACTGATTATGGACTGCTCATATATATACATATATATATATATA